CACCTACCCGTGATGAAACAGCTGGTTCAGCAGCTGGAACAGTGGGAGTTCCGAGTCTGTGGAGTTTTTTTGTTGATTCTCAATTCATGGTGGAGTCGTTCAAGGTTTGAAACTGTACCTGTCCTTGATTTTTCAGTCTCCGGCACAAACTGAGTACAAATACCTTTAGTCATAATTGTTTAATTGTTAACAGTTCCTGAACTATACCCAGGAGTGACTTGAAAATTATGTTTGTTAAATTAATATGCCAGACGAGACGAGATCGGGCGCATACAGGGTGGTATGGCCATAGGCTGGAGCGATATCACAGCGGTAGGGCATTTGCCTTGCGCACAGCCAGCCTGCCCGAGCCAGGTTCGATTCCTCCGCCCCTCTCGGAGAGCCTGGCAAGCTACGGAGAGTATTCAATATGCCAAACACAGTAACAAGAAGTCTCACAATGGAGACGTTACTGGGCTCGCTCGAGCAAATCAATGAACAACGGAAAGACAAAAGAAAAAACAAAAGAAAATAAATTAATATGCTAAGAAAATGGCTCCAGTGGCAGAGCACAGAGCTGGTGTGTTTCGAGGCCCTGAGTTTGCCCCTTGCGCACTGTTCAGTGTAGTTCTAGTGGTCCCCAACTCTCAGCTGTCGCCTTCAGGAGTTGTCCTAGGGCAGTGTCAGAAGTAAGTCCCAAGCACCACTGTGTGTGGCTCCAAAACTAGGGAAAAAAAGAAAGCTGGAGGCTGGAGAGATAGTACAGTGGGTGGAGCTCTTCCCTTGCATGTGGCCCGCCTGGGTGTCATTCCTGCCATGCTGCCACCGGGCCCCCTTAGCTGCTCCAGGAGTGATCCTTGACCACAAAGCTCAGAGTACTACTGGGTATTCCCCAAAACTGAAAGGGAGGGCGTTTGGTTCCGTCTCCAGCACCCATATGGTTCCCAAAGCTGGTCAGGAGTAACTCCTTAGTGCAGAAGCCGAAGTGACCCACTAGTTATATCAGGGGATTTTGTGACCCAGAAACCCAAAAGGAAACACCCATCAGGGGAGGTGGAGGGGGAGCATGAGAGAAGATAACGTTAAAGGGTCAGAAATAGTACAGCGCTTCCCAAAAATAAATAAATAAGTAAATTTTAAAAATGGGGGCTGGAGAGATAGTACAGCGGGTAGGGCCTTGCACACAGCCAATCTAGGTACGATTCCTAGCATCCCTGAGCACCACTAGGAGTAATTCATGAGTGCAGAGCCAGGAGTAACCCCTGTGCATTGCCAGGTATTACCACTCTCCTCCCCCCCAAAAAATAGTAAAGGGCTTAAGGTGCTCGCCTTGGTGTGGCCCACCTGCTTTTAATCCCTGTCACTACATGTTTCCTCAGTGCTGACCTCAACCCCAGCTGCCTCCTGAACACTTTAAAATATTGTTGAGTGGAGAAGTGTGGTCACTCTAGATTGCATTTCTTCTTCCCATCTCACCTTTAGAATCCTAAGGTCAGCTATTGGCCCAGCAGTCTTCTGTTCGGCCATGCCTGGCAGTGCTCAGGGCTCACTACTGGCGCTGTGCTGAGGAATCACTTAGGTAGTGCTCTGGGAACCCTGTGGAGTGCTGGGCTAGAACCTGGGCTGACCAGGCGCAAGGCAAGTGCCTTAAAGCCTGGACTCTTGCTCGGGCCCCAATCTTAGCGTTTCTCCTATTTAGGTGGGTTTTGTCCAGTGGGGATCAGAAACCTTTTATGTGGACACTGTTGGTGACAACTGATTCATCGTCCCTTTTCTGCTTCCTCTTTCAGCTTTTTTCTGGCATCTTGGCAGCCTTGAGTGCTATGGTATCTCTAGAAATCCCGCAAGTTAACACCATGACAAAAATGGACCTGCTGAGTAAAAGAGCTAAAAAGGAAATTGAGAAGTAAATTCACTATAATTAAGGTCTCATTTGCTGTGCTGAACCTTTTTCGTTTCACTTCGATTGTCAGTCTACAAATTTAGTGTTTAGGATTCTTTCGTTCACCAGTCTCTCATGTTTAAAGGTTTCTAGATCCAGACATGTATTCTTTATTAGATCATTCTACAAGTAACTTCAGAAGCAAAAAATTCAATAAATTGACTAATGCCATATGTGGGCTGGTAAGACTTTGTATTTTTACAATTTTTGGTGGTTGGGGGTGCGGGCCTCCTGTGCTGGGGGGCCTAGGGGCCGCCCTGATTATTTGCCCACCAGGCTAGTAGTGGTCATTGCTAGGGCCCAGTGGGCCGTACCAGCAGTTTTGGTTCCTTCCTGGCTGTACCCAGCAATGCTTAGGATGCCATCTGGTGCCAAGAATCAAGCGCTGTGCTAATCCCTGGGCTGATGAGTTTTGCAAGTGTTTGGGGTGTTTGTGGGTTGTTTTTAAAGTTTGGGGGCCACACCCGGTGGTGCTCAGGGGCTGTTTCTCCCTTGTGCCTGGTGGACCATATGTGGTGCTGGGTGTTCAAACTGAGGTGTGCGGGGTGTAGGCCATTTGTAACCCCTGTCGTAGCTCTTCATCCCCTCCCGCGAACCCCCCTAGACCCATATTTTTCTTAATCGTCTTATCACATGCTTACACACCCCAGGCACTGGCCACCATATGGACGGCACAGACCAGCACATGTCTTTTTTTTTTTCCCCTTTATTTTATTTTATTTTTTTTTACAGTTGTAGATTTACAATTTTTTGTGCTTTGGTTTCAATTATACAATGATCAGATACCCATCCCTCCACCAGTGCCCATTTTCCAACACCATGGATAATATCCCCCCATCCCCATCCCCCCATCCCCCCCGCCTCTGTGGCTGGGCAATCCCCTGCCACACATGTCTTTTTAGGGGAGCAGCATGTTGGGAGCGGTCGGCTGTCTGCTTCGAAGTTAGTATAGAAGTAGGGAGAGAGCTCAGTGGGCAGCACCACAGACTTTGCACACAAGGGGCCCAGGGTTATCTCTGGCACCATATGGTCGCCACCAGCGTTGTCTGGATGTGGCCTCCCCTCACCTCTGAAAAAAGTTGTCATTGGTTGTAGCAGAGAGGGCAGGAGGCCACACTGAGCAGTGGTCAGAGTTTATTCTTGGCTGTGCCTCCAGAAATCATTCCTGGTGGGCTCAGGGAGCATACGGGATGTGGGGGATCGAACCCGGGTGCATCCCTTGCCTACGTGCAAGGCAAGCGCCCACCTCGGTGTACTAGCTCTCTCGTCCCACAGCAGAGAAATTCTGCAATGTCTTTTTTTCCTGCCACTTGGCACATCAGAATTGCCTGTACACTTTTGAAATTTTCAGTGGTGCTTGAATGCAGATAAATTACTTTAAAAGAAGTCTCAGTTTCTGGTCGGGGTAGGAGCGATAGCACAGCAGGTAGGGCGTTTGCGTTGCATGGGTCCGAGCCGGGTTTGATTCCTAGCATCCCATAAGTCCCCTGAGAACCACCAGGAGTTATTCCTGAGTACATGTACCAGGAGTAACCCCTGTACATCACCAGGTATAACCCAAAAATAAAAAAAAGTCTTTAGTTAAGTAATGTTGTAGTGTTACTAGTGTTCCAATAGGTCAGAGGTCATAAAAAATTAATGCTGATTTACTGTTGTTCTGTCTGCTCCTCCCTGCACAGGCATAGATGGTTTTAATTAGACTACCAATGTTCACACTCAAGCGTCAGTTGAATGACCTTTCTGAAATCTCTAATTTGTACAATGATGACTACAGCATGGTCCGATTTTTGCCTTACGATCCGTCAGAGAAGAAAGCATGAACATTGTATTACAGCATATTGATTTTGTCATTCAGTACGGAGAAGACTTGGAATTCAAAGAACCCAAGGTAATTTCTGACGGTTTAGATTTGCCGAGGGCTGGAGCAATAGCACAGCAGGTAGGGCGTTTGCCTTACAAGCGGCCAACATGGCCGACCCGAGTTCGATTCCTCCGCCCCTCTCGGAGAGCCCGGCAAGCTACCGAGAGTATTCGACATGCCAGACACAGTAACAACAAAGTCTCCAATGGAGACGTTACTGGGCCCGCTCGAGCAAATCGACGATCAACGGGAGGGCCTTTACCTTTTACCTTTTAGATTTGCCAGGGCCAGAGAACGGCGCAGAGGGAAAGACCATTCTCTGCCTCCCCTGGGCTGACGCTGGGTCAGTTCCGATTTCATGTCTGGTCCCTGAGCACAGAGCCAGGATTGCCCTGAACACCTCTGCCCTCCTGTTTGATCTAAGCAGCTCCTTGAGTTAAAGTCTCAGGGGCAGCAAGAACCTGGCCCGTTCTGGCTGATCTCTGGGTGTGGCTCAAGAACTCAAAACCAAAAAAAACAAAGAGTAACCAAAACCCTGGTTGCGCATTTGCTGCCTTTTATGCTCCAGAACCTGATGGTGCTTTGTGCCCCCTGTTCAGGGTGGTGCCCCACCCCCTGTGCTGTCTCCTTCGCCCCAATTTTGTTCATGAATATCTATCAGCACTACCTCTGGGTATTATAGAGCATTGCCTGAACAGTAGGTAAATACACACTGGGTCTAAGGAGAAATCAATGTATTTTCTATTTTGTGTTTTATTTATATCAGGAACATGAAGATGAGTTGTCTTCTATGTTAGATGAATATTTTCAAGAATGCCAGAACAAATGAAGAGTATGTTACGATGCAACTGGATGCGGGGCTGGAGTGATAGCACAGTAGGTAGGGTGTTTGCCTTGCACGCAGCAGACCTGGGTTCGATTCCCAACATCCCATATGGTCCACCAAGCGCCGCCAGGAGTAATTCCTGAGTGAAGAGGCAGGAGTAACACCTGTGCTCTCTGGGTGTGACCCAAAAACCAAAAAAAGAAAAAGAAAAAAAATGCAACTGGATGCTTGTGAAGAGTAGCAATCACAATTTATTTAAATGAAAATATAACAGAGAAAGTAAAAACAAAGAATAAAAATCATAAAATATACCGAGGCAAGATACTCATTGGTGGGAGGGTCTCCAGACAAAGACACTGATGTGAGACCCTGGGCTTCTTCCAGTTGTAACCATGCTAGGTCCTCTGGGAACTGGTCCAATGTTGCCACAGCGGGTGGCCGTGCAGCTGGTACTGGAGAGATCATTGACGGTGCTGTCCTTCGACATGGAGCCAAGTATGCTTTCAGAGCTGGAGCTAAAGAATCAATAAGAGAAAAGGTCACCCAGAGGGCTCCTTCCATGGATTCTCCAAAGGTGACCCCAACAGGGAGCCCAGCAGGAAGGGGAGACCATGGGCCCACCTCACGGTGATTTCCTATGGAGGCCTCCCCAGAATAGGCTCTCCGGCCTGTGACTCTCCTTTCCCACACCAGCGCCCAGGACACCTCTAGGTGGGCCTTTTCGCATTCCCCATTTACTTGTGCATATACACACACCCCTTGGTTCTTACCCGTTTTCATCTGGTGCTCTGAGTCTCGTTCTCTGCCATATGTGTGAGGCCATGGCATTGAAGGTGGTGCCCTTTGGGGAGTTGACACTCCTTGGCCAATCTCAAATTTCTGCTTAGATGGTGTCTGGCTGTGCTTGGGTCTGGCTGATTCCAGACTTTCTTCAGAGGAACTGGACCCAGAGGATATGTAGAAGATCTTCTTTCTCTCCTGTGGGCTGCTCTGCTGAGGGAGCGTCTCTCTCTCCTGTGGGCTGCTCTGCGGAGGGAGAACCACAAAGGCTCAGCTACAGAAGCCCTGCTTCCCCCTCCCTTCTGAGTTCCTCCCTGCTGGTGGACCTGCATCTACACAGGCCTCCCATAGGAATGAGATTGAAACAATCAAGTTTAGAAAAGTCTTGGCCAAAGAGCACCTCATAGTGCCAACTCAGTGAGCAGTGACCTGGCCTTGGGGGCTAGATTTGATGACTCACCTGCTAGGAGAGGCTGCCCTCAAGATGATCTCACAACACACACACAGACACACGAATATACACAAATACACATACTCACACACACACACCATCTCCAGTACACACTCAAATTTACTCTCTCCGATAAACACGTTCACACACGGGTGTGCACACTCTTCCACATACACAGCGTCTGCGCCATCACTCTCAGGGAGGTGATGAAGACTGATCACGGTCATCAGTGCTGGGCTGCCCGGGCCAGTTCCTGCTGACCTGAACTAGCGGCTGTCTTCGTGAAGAATTCCGGGGAGTTCTCCAGTGAGTCCTCACCCAGTTTCTGAATCTTTTCAGTGTCCTACACTTGGGGGTTTTACAACCACGATTTCTTGGTAAACAGCAAAACATGTTTGCTGTCTGTGCGTTTCCGCAGTGAACCAAGTAATGAGTATGGGGCAGTTGGGGAGGCTGCAGAATGTCTGGTTGCATCACAAAGAGAGGTCGGTGATGTCATCGAGCGCATCACAGCGAGGACAGGTCAGCTGTGGCCCTGCAGCAGGGCTTGCTCTCTGTGCAGCCCCTCTGGGCTGCTGCTGCTCTCCCTGTTCCCACAAGTTCTGTTCATGTGGTGAACTCAAGGCCCTGGGGAGAGCAGGGAGCAGCCACTTGAAAGAATGTGCTGCTAAAATGTTATTTTCCTTTTTTTTTAAAATGTGAGTGGACTGCTATTTATTCGGCCACTGATTAGCTGATTGAATTGGGCATGAACTCCTCCTTACACTCTTTTTTTCATTTTTTATCATTGTCTTTATTGAATCACCGTGAGAGCAGTTACAAAGTTTCGGTTCTACGTCGGGTCTAAGTCTCAGTCATGCAATGAATCACCCGTACCTTCACTAGTGCCCACTCTCCACTACCAAAATCCCCAATATACCCCCATCCCACACCCTCCCTATACCTGTGGGGCAGATGATTTACACATTACTCTTTCTCTCTACTTTGATCACATTACTCTCTCTCTCTACTTTGATCACTTTGACCCAGCAATACCAGTCCTGGGAATATATCCCAGAGAGGCAAAAATGTATAGTCGAAGTGACATCCGCACTTGTTTGTTCATTGCAGCACTCTTTACAATAGCCAGAAACTGGAAGAAACCTGAATGCCCAAGAACAGATGACTGGTTAAAGAAACTTTGGTACATCTACACAATGGAGTACTATGTAGCTGTTAGAAAAGATGAAGTCATGAAATTTACATACAAGTGGTACAATATGGAAAGTGTCATGCTAAGCGAAATGAGTCAGAAAGGGAGGGATAGACATAGAAAGATTGCATTCATCTGGGGGATATAAAGTAACAAAATATGAGATTAATACCCAAGAATAGCTGAGATCAGCACCAGGAGCATAGAGGCCAGCCAGGTATTCTAGAGGAAACCGCAGTTCAGATAGAGAAGGGAGCACCAAATAAAGGGTGTTTGGAGGATCCTCCCAGGAGGGGAGATGCATGTCGAAAGTAGACTATGGACTGAACATGTTTGCCACTCAATGCCTCTTTTGCAGACCACAACAGCCAAAAGGAGAGAGAGAACACAGGGGATTGCCCTGCCACAGAGGCGGGGGGGATGGGGGCATGTGGGTGGGGGGTTATTATCCATGGTGGTGGAAAATGGGCACTGGTGAAGGGATGGGTATCTGATCATTGTATAATCGAAACCCAAGCACAAAAAATTGTAAATCTACAACTGTACCTCATGGTGTTTCACTAATAAAAAAAAAGATAGTAAAAAATTTTAAAAAAAATTTAAATGGAAAAATTAAAAAAATTATATATTTTAAAAATGAAATTAAATTTAAGAAAAAAAAGGAAAATGGGATTTTGTGGGGGCTGGGCGGCCAGGGCTCTGGGGGAAGAGCAGAGAGTGTTTATTGCGAAATAACTTATTCGTTACCACCCTCATTTTTTAAAATTATTATTAGTATTATTATTATTTCTTTTTGCTTTTTGGGTCACACCCGGTGATGCCCAGGGGTTCCTCCTGGCTCTGCACTCAGGAATTACTCCTGGTGGTGTTTAGAGGACCATTGAGGATGCTGTGAATCGAACCTTGCCGGCCACTTGCAAGGCAAATGCCCTGCCAGCTGTCATATCGCTCTAACCCCCAAATTTTTTTATTTTATAAAGTGTTTTACAATATTTGATTACATTCAATATTCAGACTCCAATCCCACCACCAGTACACCTTGTCATCACCAAATTTTGGATAGTTCCATCCCGAACCTTAATCCCTGTCCCAAAGCAGAACTCAAAGAATCTATTCTCTTGTATTGTTTGATATGAAAAACTGCCAGGGTGCTGAAGTGATAGCACAGTGGGTAGGACGTTTGCCTTGCACGCGGCGAAACTGGGTTCGATTCCAAGCATCCTATATGGTCCCCTGAGCACCATTAGCCAGGGATAATTCCTCAGTGCAGAGCCAGGGGAAATTCCTGTGCATCGGCAGGTGTTACCCAAAAACAAACAACAACAAAAAACAATCTCTAAAAATCCTATAAAAAAAGGATCCTTAGAGGAAAGAGTGTGTATTCTACCCAGGGGCCATTGAGCCCTTCTATAAGTGATCACTAACATGTTGTAAAAGGTTGAACCTTGTGTATATATATATATACATATATATATATACATATATAAAGTATATATGTGTGTATGTAAAAAATATATATATATTTCCCTCTAAGATTGGTTGCCTGCTACTTTGAATCCTGTCAAACGGGGTACAGTATTTTTGGAGTATGAGCTCCCGCATTTTTTTGCTTTTGGGATCACATCCAGTGGTGCTCAGGGCTGACTCCTGGCTCTGTGCTCAGGGATCAGGCTTCCAGGATGGTCCAGGGATTGAAAGAGAGACAGCCTTGTGCGAGGGGAGTGTCCTGCTCTCTGGACTCTCCGTGTCCCCACACCAGGGTCCCTTTAGTTCCACAGCCTTTATTTTTGGATCATACCTGGCACTACACAGGGGATACTCCTGGCTTTGCACTAAGGAATCACTCCTGGCGGTGCTTGGGGACCATATGGGGTGCTGGGGATGCTGGGAATCGAACCCGGGTCAGATGAGTGCAAGGCAAACTCCCTGGCCGCTGTGCTACGCTCCAGACCCTATTCTCATTTGCAAAGAGAAATTGAATCCAGAAAGGTTGAGCATGCAGGGCCTTGCACACACCCAATCTGGTTTTGATCTCCAAACGATGTAGACCTCTCTAAATACCGCTGGCTGTGTCCCCAAAATCAAGGGCGGGGGAGAAATCTTCCCTTTCAGTCATACTTAGCGCACCTGATAGCAGTGAGGAGACCATCTCCCAGGGATAAGGACACTGGCCGGGATGAGGCCGCTGGCCCGAGGTCAGTGTGGCCAAGGTAGGGCTGGATCTGCACTGCATGGTGTTCTGCCCAGTCCCGGGGATTAACGCTTAGTTTGGGCCTCAGCAGACACTGACCAGGGGCTGTGGGGGTTCTTCTGGTGGTTTTGGGTCTGCCTGAAGCTCTGTACCCTCCTGCCTCCCGGTCCACAGAGCACCTACTGTGCCACCATGGTCCAGCTCTGTGAAGCCCTCGGCCGTTCTGTCCAGGTGGTGAACTTAGATCCCGCGGCGGAGCATTTCAACTATGATGTGATGGCTGGTGAGTCCAGGGCGCAGCCATCCCTCTCCTTGGGGACCCTGAGGGAGTGAGTGCTGCCCCCTGCTTCTGGGGAGGCACAGAAGCTGAAAACTTCGTTCAGACTGATCCCTTGACTACTGTAATTTATTTGTTTTATTTTTTTTTCTTTTATTGATGGGTGGGGTGGGGTTTGGGCCACACTCAGCTATGTTCAGTACTTCTGGACCTGTGCTCAGGAATCACTCCTGGTCAGGCTGAGCAACTATTTAAGGTGCCAAGGATTGAACCTGGGTTGTCCACAGGCAAGACAAGGGCAGTACCCGCTGTTCTATTCCTCAGGCCCCTGTTTGGTGTCTTTTTGTTTTTGTTTCTTGTTTTTTCTTTCTAGCCCCTGTTCAATTTTTTTGGATACAGTCACAGTTGTAATAATTACTAGTGAATGTAAATATTTTGGAATGGGCACTTATTTCCTGTTTATTCTTTGCAGACATCCGGGAACTGATCGATGTGGATGATGTGATGGAGGAAGGCTCCCTGCGCTTCGGTCCCAATGGAGGACTGGTTTTTTGCATGGAGAACTTTGCCAATAACTTTGAGTGGCTGGAGAACTGCCTTGGCCATGTCGAGGATGACTGCATCCTTTTTGACTGTCCAGGTAGCTCAGTAATTAGATTGTCACCTTCCCTGGGTTGTGCAGTTCTGTCCTTGGTGGGAGAAAGTGAAATTAGCATCTCATTTACTTTTATCCCAGATTCTTGGACAGTGGACAGTCATCCCATGAGGGACTGTGGAATGTCCTTTTGTTTTCTTCTGTTTGGGGGCCACATCTAGAGGTGCTGGGGGCTGGAGCTGTTCCTAACTCCATTATCAGGAGGTTGCTCCCAGTCCTGCTTGGGGGACCAAAGCATGCTGGGAACTGAGCCAGGCTTTCTGTATGCAGAGCATATGCTCAGCCTGTTGTTTCTTGGGCCCGAGGTCATGCAGCTTTATTATTATTATTATTATTATTATTATCATTATTATTATTATTTTGCTTTACGGGTCTCACCTGGCGATGCTCAGGAGTTACTCCTGGCTTTGCACTCAGGAATCACTCCTGGAAGTGCTCAGGGGACCATATGGGATGCTCAGAATCGAACCCCGGTCGGCTGCGTGTAAGGCAGATGCCCTACCTGCTGTGCTATCACTGCAGCTCTGGTCATGCAGCTCTTGAAAGGTTTGCTTTAGAGCTAGAGAGACTGAAGGATGGGTAGGATGCTGCGGCAGACACAGGTTCAGTCCTTGGCACCATATATGGTTCCATGAATACTAGTGGGTATGGGCCAAAACCAAGGTTTTTTTTTTTTCGTTTTTTTTTCTTAGGACCATAGTACAGCAGCTAAAGCCCTTGCCTTACTTTCTGCCAGCCCAAGTTTGGATCCCTGGTACCACATAGGATCCCCCAAGCACTGCCAGGAGTTATTTTTAGTACGGAGTCAGGAATCCTCCCAGAATACCAGTGGGTGTGGCCCAAACCTCCGCCCCTCAAAATAAGAGAATAAAAAATTGTTTTAAAACCTGTCATTGTCGGGGCTGGAGCGATGCGATAGCACAGCGGGTGGGGCGTTTGCCTTGCACGTGCCCGACCCAGGTTCGAATCCTGTCATCGAATATTGTCCCCTGAGCACCGCCAGGAGTGGTTCCTGAGTGCAGATGCAGGAGTAACCCCTGAGCATCTCCGGGTGTGACCCAACAAGCAAAATAATAATAATAATAATAATAAATAAATAAATAAATAAATGAAATCCCTGTGGCTGTCCTCCCGCTGTTCATTGATTTGCTTGAGCGGGCCCAGTAACTTCTCCATCGTGAGACTTGTTGTTACTGTGTTTGTCATATCGAATACGTCACAGGTAGCTTGACAGGCTTTGCCATGTGGTCAAGATCTTCTCGGTAGGTTGCCGGGCTCTCCGAGAGGGGCAGAGGAGTTGAACCCGGTTTGGCCGGGCCGGCTGCGTGCATGGAAAATGCCCTACCGCTGAGCTATCACTCCAGCCCGTTTTAAACTCATTTTTAATAATTATAGTGCAACCAGCCAACATGGCCGACTCGGGTTCGATTCCTCTGCCCCACCTAGAGGGCCCGGCAAGCTACCGAAGAGTATCACCTGCACAACAGAGCCTGGCAAGCTCCTCGTGACATATTCGATATGCCAAATACAGGAACAATTGTCACAATGGAGATGTTACTGGGCCTGCTCGAACAAATCGATGAACAGGAGAACAGTGATGATGATGATGACAGTATATTTTCTTTGTATGCCCCTTTTATACATGTGCACCCAGAGTTGCTTAAAAAATTCCGGGGGGGGCAGGGGAGCTGGTGTGATAGTACAATGGGTTTGGCGTTTGCCTTGCATGCAGCTGACCCGGAACCCCAGCATCCCATATGGTCCCACAAGCACTGCCTGGAGTAATTCCTGAATTCAGTGCCAGACGTAACCCCTGCGCATCGCCAGGTGTGACCCAAAATGAAAAAAAAAATATTGGGGGACCCAGAGAGATACTACAGTGGGTAGGGCACTTACCTTGAACACAGCTAAGGTGATCCCTGCTACCCTATATGGTTACTGGAGTCTGTCAACAGTCATCCCTGAGCACAGAATCAGGAATAAGCCCTGAGCACTATCAGGTTGTCCCCTCCCCCCCCAAAAAAAAACCCAAAATTGAATATAGTATAGGACTTATAGATATAGTGTGCTGGGGACATACTTTACATGTAGTGGGCCTTGCATGTAGTAGGCCTTGCATGTAGGACTCTGAGTAGCTTCGAGCCCTCCCAGAAGTTTCAGAGAGACCCTCAAGCATCCCCACGTGCGGCTTAAAACAAGCAAAATTGAATATATTACTTGTAGGGACTGACTTCCTTTAAAAAAATTTGGGGGGGGGGACCACGGGTGCCATATCTGATGATGCTCAGGGGTTACTCCTAGCTCCTGTGCTCAGGAATTACTCCTGGCTATGCTCAAGGGACCCTATGGGATCGAACCCAGGTTGGCTGTGTGCAAGGCAAGTTCCCACCCTCTATACTATCTCTCAAGCCCCCAAAGACAGTTTCTGGGAAAAGTTTTTTCCCATAATTGAGGGTTGAATGTATTTTATGTTTATAATAAACTTGTGTTCTTGTCGGTCAGATCGAGTTGTACACAAACCTGCCCGTGATGAAACAGCTGGTTCAGCAGCTGGAACAGTGGGAGTTCCGAGTCTGTGGAGTGTTTCTTGTTGATTCTCAATTCATGGTGGAGTCTTCAAGGTTTGAAACTATACCTGTCCTTGATTTTTCAGTCTCCGGCACAAGCAGAGTACAAAAACCTTTAGTCATAATCGTTTAATTGTTACCAGTTCATGAACTATACCCAGGAGTGACTTAGAACTTATTTTTGTTAAATTAATATGCCAAGAAGATGGCTCCAGTGGCAGAGAACAGAGCTGGCATGTTCGAGGCCCTGAGTTTGCCCCTTGTGCAGTTCTAGTGGTCCCCAACTCTCAGCTGTCACCTTCAGGAGTTGTCCCAGGGCGGTGTCAGAAGTAAGTCCCAAGCACCACAGTAAGTCCCAAGAGGCTCCAAAACTAGAAAAAAAAATCTGGATGCTAGAGAGATAGTACAGTGGGTAGAGCTCTTGCCTTGCATGTGGCCAGCCTGGGTGTCATTCCTGCCATGCTGCCACCGGCCCCTGAGCCCCTCCAGGAGTGATCCTTGACCACAAAGCTCAGAGTACTACTGGGTATTCCCCAAAACTGAAAGGGAGGCTGTTTGGTTCTGTCTCCAGTACTCCAGGTGGTTCCCCAAGCTGCTCAGGAGTAATTCCTGAGTACAGAAGCAGAAGTGACCCCTTAGTAATATCAGGGGATTGTGTGACCCAGAAACCCAAAAGGAAACACCCATCAGGGGAGGTGGAGAGCGAGCATGAGAGAAGATAACGTTAAAGGGTCAGAAATAGTAAAGCGCTTCCCAAAAATAAATAAATAAATAAGTAAATTTTAAAAATGGGGGCTGGAGTGATAATACAGCGGGTAGGGCCTTGCATACAGCCAATCCAGGTTCGATTCCTAGCATCCCTGAGCACCACTAGGAGTAATTTCTGAGTGCAAAGCTGGGAGTAACCCCTGTGCATTGCCAGTAATTACCCCCCCCCCCCAAAAATAGTACAGGGCTTAAGGAGCTCGCCGTGATGTGGCCCCCCTGCTTTTAATCCCTGTCACTACATGTTTCCTCAGTGCTGAACTCAACGCCAGCTACCTCCTGAACACTTTAAAATATTGTTGAGTGGAGAAGTGTGGTCACTGTAGATCGCGTTTCTCCTTCCCATCTCACCTTTAGAATCCTAAGGTCAGCTATTGGCCCAGCAGTCTTCTGTTCGGCCATGCCTGGCAGTGCTCAGGGCTCACTACTGGCGCTGTGCTGAGGAATCACTTAGGTAGTGCTCTGGGAACCCTGTGCAGCGTTGGGCTAGAACCTGGGCTGACCAGGCGCAAGGCAAGCGCCTTAAAGCCTGGACTCTTGCTCGGGCCCCAATCTTAGCATTTCTCCTATTTAGGTGGGTTTTGTTCCAGTGGGGATCAGAAACCTTTTATGTGGACACTGTTGGTGACACTAATTCATTGTCCCTTTTCTGCTTCCTCTTCCAGCTTTTTTCTGGCATCTTGGCAGCCTTGAGTGCTATGGTATCTCTAGAAATCCCGCAAGTTAACATCATGACCAAAATGGACCTGCTGAGTAAAAGAGCTAAAAAGGAAATTGAGAAGTAAGTTCACTATAAATAAGGTCTCCTTTGCAGTGCTGAACCTTTTTCGTTTCACTTCGATTGTCAGTCTACAAATTTAGTGTTTAGGATTCTTTCATTCACCAGTCTCTCATGTTTAAAGGTTTCTAGATCCAGACATGTATTCGTTATTAGATGATTCTACAAGTAACTTCAGAAGCAAAAGATTCAATAAATTGACTAACGCCATATGTGGGCTGGTAAGACTTTGTATTTTTGTAATTTTTGGTGGTTGGGGGTTCGGGCCTCCTGTGCTGTGGGGCCTAGGGGCCACTCTGATTATTGGACCACCAGGCTAGTAGTGGTCAGTGCTGGGGCCCAGAGGGCAGTACCAGCAGTATTGGTTGCTTACTGGCTATACACAGCAATGCTCAGGATGCCATCTGGAGCCAAGAATCAAGCCCTGTGCTAATCCCTGGGCTGATGAGTTTTGCAAGTGTTTGCGGTTATTGTGGGATGTTTTTAAGGTTTGGGGGCCACACCCGGTGGTGCTCAGTGGCTATTTCTCCCTTGTGCCTGGTGGACCATATGTGGTGCTGGGTGTTCAAACTGAGGTGTGCGGGGTGCAGGCCAGTTGTAACCCCTGTCGTAGCTCTTCATCACCTCCCCCCGCACCTCCCTAGACCCATATTTTTCTTCATGGTCTTGTCACATGCTTACACACCCCCAGGCAGTGGCCACCATATGGACGGCACAGACCAGCGCATTTCTTTTTATACGGGAGCAGCATGTTGGGAGCGGTGGGCTGTCTGCTTCGAAGTTAGTATAGAAGTAGGGAGAGAGCTCAGTGGGCAGCACCACAGGCTTTGCACACAAGGGGCCCAGGGTTCATCTCTGGCACCATATGGTCGCCACCAACGTCGTCTGGATGTGGCCTCCCCTCACCTCTGAAAAAAGTTGTAATTGGTTGTAACAGAGAGGGCAGGAGGCCACACTGAGCAGTGGTCAGAGTTTATTCTTGGCTCTGCCTCCAGAAATCATTCCTAGTGGGCTCAGGGAGCATATGGGATGCGGGGGGGATTGAACCCGGGAGCATCCCTTGCCTACTTGCAAGGCAAGCGCCCACCTCAGTGTACTAGCTCTCCCGTCCCACAGCAGAGAAATTCTGCAATGTCTTTTTTTCCTGGCCACTTGGCACATCAGAATTGCCTGTACCCTTTTGAAATTCTCAGTGGTGGTTGAATGCAGATAAATTACAATAAAAGTAGTCCCAGTCTCTGGTTGGGGCTGGAGCGATAGCACAGCAGGTAGGGCGCTTGCCTTGCACGTGTCTGAACTGGATTTGATTCCTAGCATTCCATAGGTCCCCTGAGCACCACCAGAAGTTATTCCTGAGTGCATGAACCAGGAGTAACCCCTGTGCATCGCCGGGTGATACCCCCCCCCAAAAAAAAGTTTTTAGTTAAGTAATGTTGTAATGTTACTAGTGTTCCAATAGGTCAGAGGTCATAAAAAAATTAATGCTGATTTGCTATTGTTCTTTCTGCTCCTTCCTGCATAGGCATAGGTGGTTTTTTTACATGAAAAGTTCATTAACTTTTTATTTTTTTTTAAATTTTTTTTCTTTTTTTTATTAGTGAAAAACCATGAGGTACAGTTATAGGCTTACAAATTTTGTGCTTGGGTTTCAGTTATACAATGATCAAGTGCCCATCCCTCCACCAGTGCCCGTCATCCATCCCCACTGGTCCCAGCATCCCCCCACGCAACCCTCATCCCCCCCTCCCCCCCCCCGTCCCATCCTGCCTCTGTGGCAGGGTATTCCCCCTTGTTCTCTCTCTCTTCTTTTGGGTACTGTGTTTTGCAAGAGAGGCTTTGAGTTTCAATCATGTTTGGTCTATCGACTACTTTTAGCATGCTTCTCCCACCCTAGGAGGGCCCTCACAACACCCTTCATTTGGTGCTCTCTTCTCTATCTGAGCTTCCTTTTCACCTAGAGCCTGTGGCTGGCCTTCCATTCATGGAGCAAAATTCCTGGTACTAATCTCAGCCATTCCTGGGTGTTAATCTCCCTTTTTGTTGCTTTATGTTCCCCAGATGAATGCAATCTTTCTGTGTCTTATCCCGCTCTTTGTGACTCATTTCGCTTAACATGATACTTTCCATGTAGTACCACTTGTATGTAAATTTCATAACTTCATCTTTTCTAACAGCTACATAGTACTCCATTGTGTAAATGTACCAAAGTTTCTTTAACCAGTCATCTGTTCTTGGGCACTCAGGTTTTTTCCAGATTCTGGCTATTGTAAAGAGTGCTACAATGAACAAACAATTGCAGATGTCACTTCGACTATACCTTTTTGCCTCTCTGGGATATATTCCCAGGAGTGCTATAGCTGGGTCAAATGGCAGATCAAATTCTAATTTTTTGAGAGTCGTCCATACTGTTTTCCAAAAGGGTTGGACCAGCCGGCATTCCCACCAGCAGTGAAGGAGGGTCCCTTTCTCGCCACATCCGCGCCAGCACCTGTTGCTTTTGTTCTTGTGGATGTGGGCCAGTCTCTGTGGTGTGAAATGATATCTCATTGTGGTTTTGATCTGCATCTCTCTGATGATTAGTGATGTAGAGCATTTTCTCATGTGCCTTTTTGCCATTCGAATTTCTTCTTTGCGAAAGTTTCTGTTCATTTCCTCACCCCAGTTTTTGAGCGGGGCTGGAGCGATAGCACAGCGGGTAGGGCGTTTGCCTTACAAGCGGCCAACATGGCCGACCCGAGTTCGATTCCTCCACCCCTCTCGGAGAGCCCGGCAAGCTACCGAGAGTACTCGATATGCCAGACACAGTAACAACAAAGTCTCCAATGGAGACATTACTGGGCCCGCTCGAGCAAATCGACGATCAACGGGAGGGCCTTTAGTTTTTGATGGGGTTGGGTGATTTCTTCTTGTGGAGTTTAACCAGTACCTTGTATATCCTTGATATCAACCCCTTGTCGGATGTGTACTTGGTGAATATCCTTTCCCATTCTGTAGGCTGTCTTTGTATTTTGGTCAATGTTTCTTTTGAGGTGCAGAAGCTTCTCAGTTTAAGATAGTCCCATTTGTCTATCTCTGTTTTCACTTGCTCAGCCAGTGGCGTGACGTCTTTGAAGATACCATTAGCTTCAATATCATGGAGAGTTTTGCCAACTTTGTCTTCAATAAACATTATGGATTCTGGTCTGATGTTGAGGTCATAAATCCATTTTGATCTTACTTTTGTGCATGGTGTTAGGCAGAGATCTGAGCCCACTTTTTTGCATGTAGCCGTCCAATTTTGCCAGCACAGTTTATTGAAGAGGCTTTCCCTGCTCCATTTCACTTTTCTTGCCCCCTTATCAAAAATTAGATGATTATATATTTGGGAGGAAATGTCAGTATATTCAACTCTGTTCCATTGGTCTGCAGCTCTGCTTTTGTTCCAGTACCATGCTGTTTTAATTATTACTGCCTTGTAGTAGAGTTTGAAGTTAGGGAGGTTGATTCCTCCCATTTTCTTTTTCCCAAGAATTGCTTTAGCTATTCGTGGGGGCTTATTGTTCCATATAAATTTCAGGAGTGTTTGCTCCATTTCTTTGAAGAATGTCATGGGTATCCTTATAGGGACTGCATTGAATTTGTACAGTGCTTTGGGAAGTATTGCCATTTTGATGATGTTGATTCTCCCCATCCATGAGCAGGGGATATTTTTCCATTTCCTCGTGTCCTCTTTTATTTCCTGAAGTAGCGTTTTGTAGTTTTCTTTGTACAGGTCCTTTACTTCCTTAGTTAAGCTGATTCCTAGATACTTGATTTTCTGGGGCACAATTGTGAATGGGATTGTTTTCTTGATGTCACTTGCTTCTCTTTCACTATTTGCGTATAGGAATGCCATGGATTTTTGGGTATTGATTTTATAGCCTGCCACTTTACTATACAAGCCTATTGTTTCTAGGAGTTTCTTGGTAGAGGTTTTAGGGTTCTCTAAGTATAGTATCATGTCATCTGCGAATAGTGGTACCAAAAAAGATTTTGAAGGTGAAATTGCAATGAATGTAAATAATTTTGTATATAACAAAGTAGCAATGATGGTCACAGCTGCTCTTGGATAATTTTTATTGATTTTGGGGAGCAAAAGGTATTGTAACATACAATTTTTTTCAAAGGAAAAATACATGTGAAAATTAAGTAAGATCATTATCTTACCTTTATCTTTTAGTTTTCGTACACTGAAAATTATTTGTACAATTAAAAGACTAAAAGTCACTTGATCACTTGATACCCCGGTACTCATCCATTTACTTGAGCGGGTGTCAGTAGCGTTTCTATTCATCCCTGTTGCGTGCTAGCGTAGCCCAAAGGCATCTGCTCGTTCTAGGAATATGCAGAGACTCAAACCAATCATTCAGGGTCTTGACGAAGAAATCTGACCATCTTGTAGGTGGACGTCCACCTGGCGTTTTGACGTCCCGTGGAATCCAGTCAGTAATGGCTCTAGTCCAGCGGTCATCTCTAAATCTCATTAAGTGTCCACCCATCTGATTTTTGATGCCTTGGCAAATGAGATAGCGTCCCTAATTCTTTAGCGTTGACGGAGATTGGAACTCCGGATTCTATCTCTCATTTGAGTGAAGTGTGATACTCCAAGCATAGCTTTTTCGATTCCTCTTTGAGATACCCGAATAGCGTTTTCATCCTGTTTTCATAGGGCCCAGGTCTCTGAGGCATATATTATTGTAGGAGGAAAAGTGGAATCAAAGAGATGTGATCAGAGCTGAAGGTTCTTTGTCCTCTTAGTTATTTCTTCAATTCTCTTGAAGGCATTCCAAGCCACTCTCTTCCTCCTGCATAACTCAGGTGCCAGGTCATTCATCTTGTTGATTTCTCGACCTCGGTATATATAACTGTTGCATTCGGAGATGGTGGTTTTGTTGAGAGTGAATGGATGATCAGGAACAAGACTGTTTCTCACGAACATTGTCTTTGTGAGATTCTGTTGCAATCCGACCTTTCCACACTCACGGTCGAAGTCGGTCAGCATTTGTGCCACTTGGCTGATGTTTTGTGTTATTAGAATGAGGTTATCAGCAAAGCGGAGGTGGTGTAGTTGCCAACCATCTATCTTCACACCCATTCCTTCCCATTCCAGTTGACGCATGATGTTCTCGAGGGTGGTACTGAAGAGTTTTGGTGAAATGGTATCACCCTGCCGAACCCCTCTCTTGACATGGATGATTACTTCTTTGTAGAATGGAGAGATCCTGGTAGTGAATCCATAATAGAGCTCATGGAGGATCATGATGTATTGAATTTCTATGTCCTAATTGACTAGGGCTTCAATGACTGCTTCCTTCTCAACAGAATCAAAAGCCTACTTTAAATCAATGAACGCCAGACAGAGCGGCACGTTGAACTCCTGAGAAACCTCAAGGAGCTTAGTTATCGTGTGGATATGGTCAATGCTGCTGAATCCTTTTTGGGACCCGGCTTGTTCACATAGTTGTCCTTCATCTAGTGTTCTGCCAATCCTATTCTGGATGACTTGAGTGAACAGTTTGTAGATGACAGACAATAGGCAGATTGGGCGATAGTTGCCAATGTTGTGGATGTCTCCCTTCTTTCATAGTAGTACGGTCTTGCTGGTTTTCCATTGGGATGGAACCTTGCATTCAGACAGGTAATATGTGAAGAGCTGAGCCAGTGTATTGATGAGTACTGACGGCAGGTTCTTCAGGTGCTCAGGTCTGATCTTGTCTGGGCGAGGTGCTCTTTGTTTCTTTACCGAAGAGATGGCATGTTGAATTTCGGAAGGGAGAACATTGGGAACGACATATCCATCATGCAGAATTTGGTATGTGGGCAAGTGGGTGTGGCTATTAAAGAGGTCTGAGTAGAAGTCATGAATAATCTCCATTGCCCTTGTGGAAGATGTGATAGATCCATCAGGATGTCGGAGGGCAGTCATCTTGGTCTTGTAGTTGGTGAAGGACAGCGGGCATTACAAATGCTTTTCCTGGCTTCTGCCACATCTACCAGCACTGCTGTTCTCCTGTCTTTGAGGTCATCCTTGATCTCTTCTCTGCACTGTTTTGACAGCTCAGACATTTGCTTGCCGTTGCCTGAGGCATGTGCCAAGCCACGTTGGCGAATAAGTTCAAGAGTGTTCAAATGAAGGTGGTTTTTTGTGGTTATCTCTCTCTTGGCATTCCTCGCACAATCCTGGAGGTGCTGAATCATTTGATCGTATTCCTCATCATTGTTGTCAATGATGGCATCTTCCCATGTTGCCACAACAGAGCCAAAGAACTCCCAGTTGGTGGTCGTTCTGGGAGTTCTCTTCTTAAACTTTGCATTCTTTTCTCCCTGTTCTGTGACGTAGAATTTTGCACGAGGGAGATGGTGGTCCGATCCCATTTGGAATTTTGCGACAACAGCAACATCGGTTAGGCAAAATCGTCCATTGAATATGATGTGGTCAATTTTGCTGTGGAACCGTCCACCAGGAGACTCCCATGTCCAACGTTTAGATTCAGCCTTTTGGAATTGTGAGTTACCATGGATGGTCTTGGTTGACATGATGAACTCAGACAGTCTGTCACCCTGTTCATTCCATTCTAGGCCATGGGTCCCAAAGTGGAGTTCATCGGCTGATCTTTTGGTTCTATCTTGGCACTAAAATCACCAACAATGATCTTGTAGAAGGTGTGGTCTTCTTAATAGAACTTCTCCAGCTGCATGTAGAACTTCTCCATTTCTCCTTCACCATAACAGGATGTTGGTACATACACAACAAAGATAGAAACTGCTGGCAGTGATCCACGTCTATTCAAGTGTAATCATGCAATTCGGGTTGTTAGGCATTGGAATGAATCAATGCTCATGGCCAAGTTCACCTTGACAAGGATACCGACACCACTGATGCCTCTTTTGTCACATGTTCCAAGGAACAGTTCTTCTCCAGTGTCAAAAATGGCATGGTGTGATTGATGCCTTCTGTTTTTGGTCAGACCAATGATGTTCTACTTGATCTTTCACGCTTGTACCATCAGGTCCTCGATGGATATATCCGATGCCAGCATACGTGCATTGAAATTACAGACAATAATTTTTGTCTTTCTTCATTTTGGCAGCCTAGTTCTGCCTTGAGATTTTGTCAGCCTCTCCTTCCACATCCTTCTCGACTCTTCCATATTCAGGGTCAGGGGAATGAGATCCATTTTTTTTTTTACTGGATTTGGCATATCGAATATACCACGGATAGTTTGTCAGGCTCTGCCATGTGGGTGGGATATTTAAGGTAGTCTGAAAAAATAAATAAACATAAATATAAGGTCGCCTGGCCGCAAATGCAAATGTGGCCCCACGCTCCTGGGAGCTTGGAGTGGTAATCACTGGATCCTGGCAGTTGTTGGGGTTACACGGCAGTTGATGGGTGTAACTTTCTAGCTACTGGAAGGTCCAGTCCCAAACCGTGCAGGCTTGGAGATCTCAGCCCCGCGTCCTGCACACCTGAGTTCCTCTGCCAGTTCCTTTATGCATATTCCTAGAATGAGCAGATGCCATTGGGCTACGCTAGCATGCAACAGGGCTGAATGGAAACGTTACTGACACCCACTCCAGTAATGGATGAGTAATGGGGTATCAAGTGATGAAGTGATCAAGTGACTTTTAGTGTTTTAATTGTAGAAATAATTTTCAGTGTAGGAAAACTAAAAGATAAAGGTAAGATAATGATCTTACTTAATTTTCCCAGATATTTTTCCTTTGAAAAAAATGAATGTTACAATACCTTTTGCTCCCCGAAATCAATAAAAATTATCCAATAGCAGCTGTGACCATCATTGCTACTTTCTTACATACAAATTTATTTAAATTCATTGCAATTTCACCTTCAAAATGCGTGAGGCTCATCCAAGCGTGTGGAGAGTGGTCTCAGCATGACTTTGGCCTGGTGCCTGAGGTCTTCAGCTGCTGGGCCCTGGTGTGGACAGTCAAGCACGGGGTAGGAGAATCTGCCTTGTTCTCTCCCGGGAGCTTGGTGAAATATTCAGGTGAGTATCGGTGATTCATTAAAAAGTAAAAAATTTAAGAAAACAAATTTAAAATGGAAAAATTTAAAAAATAAATTTAAAAAATGAAATTAAATTTAAGAAAAGAAAAGAAAATGGGAGTAGGTGGGGGGCTGGGCGGCCAGGGCTATGGGGGAAGAGCGGAGAGTGTTTATTGTGCAATAACTTATTCCATCCTCATTTTTAAAAATTATTATTAGTATTATTTTTTTTTTGCTTTTTGGGTCACAACCGGTGATGCCCAGGGGTTCCTCTGGGCTCTGCACTCAGGAATTTCTCCTGGTGGTGCTCAGAGGACCATAGGGATGCTAGGAATCGAACTTGGCCGGCCACTTGCAAGGTAAACGCCCTGCCCGCTGTCATATCGCTCCAACCCTTCAATTTTTTTATTTTATTAAGTGTTTTACAATATTTGATTACATTCAATATTCAGACTCCAATCCCACCACCATTACACCTTCTCACCACCATATTTCGGATAGTTCCATCCCAAACCCCAATCCCTGTCCCAAAGCAGAACTCAAAGAATCTATTCTCTTGTATTGTTTGATATGAAAAACTGCCAGGGCGCTGAAGCGATAGCACAGTGGGTAGCACGTTTGCCTGGCACACGGTGAAAGTGGGTTCGATTCCCAGCATCCCATATGGGCCCCTGAGCACCATTAGCCAGGGGTAATTCCTGAGTGCAGAGCCAGGAGTAATTCCTGTGCATGAACATGTATGACCCAAAAGCCAAAAAAAAAATAATAATAATCGCTAAAAATGCTATAAAAAAAGTATCCTTAGAGGAAAGAGTGTGTATTCCACCCAGGGGCCGTTAAGCCCATCTCTATGAGATCACTAACATCTTGTAAAAGGTTGAGCCTTGTGTGTTTTATATATATATATATATCTGTAAAAAATATATATATTTCCCTCTAAGATTGGTTGCCTGCTACTATGAACTCTGTCATATGTGGTACAGCAATTTTGGAGTATGAGCTCCTGCATTTTTTGCTTTTGGGGTCACATCCGGTGGTGCTCAGGGCTGACTCCTGGCTCTGTGCTCAGGGATCACCCCTGGCAGGCTTCCAGGATGGTCCAGGGATTGAAAGTGAGGCAGCCATGTATGAGGGGAGTGTCCTGCGCTCTGGACTCTCCGTGTCCCCGCTCCAGGGCCCCTTTAGTTCCACAGCCTTTGTTTTGGGGTCATACCTGGCACTGCACAGGGGTTACTCCTGGCTCTGCACTCAGGAATTACTCCTGGCGGTGCTCGGGGGACCATATGGAATGCTGGGAATCGAACCCGGGTCAGCTGAGTGCAAGGCAAACGCCCTACCCGCTGTGCTACGCTCCAGACCCTATTCTCATTTGCAAAGTTCATTGGCTGAACTTCTTTGTCCTATATTTATTTGTTTTATTTTTTTTCTTTTCTTTATGGGTGGGGTCGGGTTTGGGCCACTCCCAGCTGTGTTCAGCCCGTCTGGCTCTGTGCTCCAGGATCACTCCTGGTGAAGCTGAGGAACTATATGAGGTGCCAAGGATTGAACCTGGGTTGTCCACATGCAAGGCAAGCGCCTTACCCACTGTTCTATTCCTCTGGCCCCTGTTTGGTGTCTTTTTGTTTTTGTTTTTTGTTTTTTCTTTCTAGCCCCTGTTCAGTTTCTGTGGATACTGTCACAGTTGTAATTACTAAAGAATGTAAATATTTTGGAATGGGCACTCATTTCCTGTATATTCTTTGCAGACATCCGGGAACTGATCGAGGTGGATGATGTGATGGAGGACGGTTCCCTGCGCTTCGGTCCCAATGGAGGACTGGTGTTTTGCATGGAGTATTCGCCAGTAACTTTGAGTGGCTGGAGAACTGCCTTGGCCATGTCGAGGATGACTGCATCCTTTTTGACTGTCCAGGTAGCTCAGTAATTAGATTGTCATCTTCCCTGGGTTGTGCAGTTCTGTCCTTGGTGGGAGAAAGTGAAATTAGCATCTCATTTACTTTTACCCCAGATTCTTGGACAGTGGACAGTCATCCCCTGAGGGGCTGTGGAATATCTGTTTTCTTCTGTTTGGGGGCCACATGCAGAGGTGCTAGAGGCTGGGGCTCTTCCTAACTGTTATCAGGAGGTTGCTCCCAGCCCTGCTTGGGGAACCAAAGCATGCTGGGAACTGAGCCCAGGCTTTCTGCATGCAGAGCATATGCTCAGTCTCTTGTTTCTTGGGTCCCAGGTTATGCAGCTTTTTTTTTTTGTTTGTTTTACGGGTCACACCTGGTGATGCTCAGGAATTACTCCTGGCTTTGCACTCAGGAATCACTCCTGGCAGTGCTCAGGGGAACATATGGGATGCTGGGAATCGAACTCAGGTCGGCTGTGTGCAAGGCAAACTCCCTACCTGCTGTGCTATCACTCCAGCTTCGGTCATGCAGCTCTTGAAAGGTTTGCTTTAGAGCTAGAGAGACAGAAGGATGGGTAGGATGCTGCGGTAGACACAGGTTCAGTCCTTGGCACCATATATGGTTCACTGAATACTAGTGGGTATGGGCCAAAAACAAGATTTTTGTTTGTTTGTTTTTTAGGGCCATAGTACACCAGCTAAAGCCCTTGCCTTGCTTTCTGCCAGCCCAAGTTTGGATCCCTGGTTCCAGATAGGATCCCCCAAGCACTGCCAGGAGTTATTTTTAGTACAGAGTCAGGAATCCTCCCAGAATACCAGTGGGTGTGACCCAAACTTCCTCCCCTCACACTAAGAGAATAAAAATTTGTTTTAAAATCTGTCATTGTCGGGGCTGGATCAATGTGATAGCACAGCAGGTTGGGCGTTTGCCTTGCACATACCCGACCCAGGTTCGAATCCCAGCATCCCATATGGTCCCCTGAGCACCGCTAGGAGTGGTTCCTGAGTGCAGAGCCAGGAGTAACCCCTGAGCATCTCTGGGTGTGACCCAAAATGCAAATAATAATAATAAATTAATAAATGAAATCTCTGTGACTGTTCTCCCGTTGTTCATTGATTTGCTTGAGCAGGCCCAGTAACTTTTCCATCGTGAGACTTGTTGTTACTGTGTTTGTCATATCGAGTATGTCACAGGTAGCTTGACAGGCTTTGCCATGTGGTCAATATACTCTCGGTAGCTTGCTGTGCTATCCGAGAGGGGCAGAGGAGTTGAACCCGGTTTGGCTGTGCCGGCTGCGAGCATGGCAAATACCCTAGGACTGCGCTATTACTGCCGCCCATTTTAAAATCATTTTTAATAATTTTCGTGCAACCGGCCAACATGGCCGACTGGAGTTTGATTCCTTTGCCCCTCTTGGAGAGCCCGGCAGGCTACCGAAGAGTATCTCGCCTGCAGAGCAGAGCCTGGCAAGCTCCCCGTGACATTTTCAATATGCCAAATACAGTAACAATTGTCACAATGGAGATGTTACTGGGCCTGCTCGAGCAAATCGATGAACAGGAGGACAGTGATGATGATGATGACTGTATATTTTCTTTGTATGCCTCTTTTACATACATGTACACCCAGAGTTGCTTAAAAATTTCTTGGGGGGGCCAGGGGAGCGGGTGTGATAGAACAATGGGTTGGGCGTTTGCCTTACATTCGGCTGACCCGGAACCCCAGCATATCATATGGTCCCCCGAGCACTGTCAGTAGTAATTTCTGAGTGCAGAGCCAGAAGTAACCCCTGCACATCTCCAGGTGTGACCCAAAATGAAAAAAAAAATATTGGGGGAGCCAGAGATACTACAGTGTATAGGGCACTTGCCTTGCACACTGCTAAGGTGATCCCTGCTATCCTATATGGTTCCTGGAGCCTTCCAAGAGTCATCCCTGAGCACAGAATCAGGAATTAGCCCTGAGCACTATCAGGTAGTCCACAAAACAAAAAACAAAGAAAAATTGAATATACTATAGGGCTAGAGAGATAGTGGGCTGGGGACATGCTTTACATGTAGTGGGCCTTGCATCTAGTAGGCCTTGTATGTAGGACTCTGAGTAGCTTCGAGCCCTCCCAGCAGTTTCGGGGAGACCCTCAAGCATCCCCACCTGCGGCTTAAAACAGGCAAAATTGAATATATTACTTGTAGGGATTGACTTCCTTTAAAAAAAATTTGGGGGGACCGCGGGTGACGTATCTGATGATGCTCAGGGGTGACTCCTAGCTCCTGTGCTCAGGAATTACTCCTGGCTGTGCTCAAGGGACCCTATGGGATCGAACCCAGGTTGGCTGTGTGCAAGGCAAGTTCCCACCCTCTATGCTATCTCTCAAGCCCCCTAAAACAGTTTCTGGGAAAAGATTTTATCCCATAATTGTGGGTTGAATGTATTTCATGCTTATAATAAGCTTGTGTTCTTGTAGGTCAGATCGAGTTGCACACACACCTGCCCGTGATGAAACAGCTGGTTCAGCAGCTGGAACGGTGGGAGTTCCGTGTCTGTGGAGTGTTTCTTGTTGATTCTCAATTCATGGTGGAGTCGTTCAAGGTTTGAAACTATACCTGTTCTTGATTTTCAGTCTCTGGCACAAGCAGAGTGCAAATACCTTTAGTCATAATCGTTTAATTGTTAACAGTTCATGAACTATACCCCGGAGTGACATAGAACTTATTTTTGTTAAATTAATATGCCAAGAAGATGGCTCCAGTGGCAGAGAACAGAGCTGGCATGTTCGAGGCCCTGAGTTTGTCCCTTGTGCAGTTCTAGTGGTCCCCAACTCTCAGCTGTCGCCTTCAGGAGTCGTCCTAGGGTGGTGTCAGAAGTAAGTCCCAAGCACCACTGTGTGTGGCTCCAAAACTAGAAAAAAAAAGCTGGATGCCTGAGAGATAGTACAGTGGGTAGAGCTCTTGCCTTGCATGTGGCCCGCCTGGGTGTCATTCCTGCCATGCTGCCACCGGGCCCCCCGAGCCCCTCCAGGAGTGATCCTGGACCACAAAGCTCAGAGTACTACTAGGTATTCCCCAAACCTGAAAGGGAGGGCGTTTGGTTCCGTCTCCAGCACCCATATGGTTCCCAAAGCTGGTCAGGAGTAACTCCTTAGTGCAGAAGCAGAAGTGACCCTTTAGTTATATCAGGGGATTGTGTGACCCAGAAACCCAAAAGGAAACACCCATCAGGGGAGGTGGAGGGGGAGCATGAGAGAAGATAACGTTAGAGGGTCAGAAATAGTACAGGGCTTCTCAAAAATAAATAAATAAATAAATAAATAAGTAAGTAAATTTTAAAAATGGGGGCAGGAGTGATAGTACAGCGGGTAGGGCCTTGCACACAGCCAATCCGGGTTCGATGCCTAGCATGCCTCCGCACCACTAGGAGTAATTCCTGAGTGCAGAGCCAGGAGTAACCCCTGTGCATTGCCAGGTATTACCCCTCCCACCCCCAAAAAAATAGCAAAGGGCTTAAGGAGCTCGCCTTGATGTGGCCCACTTGCTTTTAATCCCTGTCACTACATGTTTCCTCAGTGCTGAACTCAACCCCAGCTACCTCCTGAACACTTTAAAATATTGTTGAGTGGAGAAGTGTGGTCACTATAGATCGCATTTCTCCTTCCCATCTCACCTTTAGAATCCTAAGGTCAGCTATTGGCCCAGCAGTCTTCTGTTAGGCCCAGCCTGGCAGTGCTCAGGGCTCACTACTGGCCCTGGGCTGAGGAATCACTTAGGTAGTGCTCTGCGAACCCTGTGGAGTGCTGGGCTAGAACCTGGGCTGTCCAGGTGCAAGGCAAGCACCTTAAAGCCTGGACTCTTGCTCGGGCCCCAATCTTAGCGTTTCTTGTATTTACGTGAGTTTTGTTCCAGTGGGGATCAGAAACCTTTTATGTGGACACTGTTGGTGACAACTGATTCATCATCCCTTTCCTGCTTCCTCTTTCAGCTTATTTCTGGCATCTTGACAGCCTTGAGTGCTATTGTATCTCAAAAATCCCCCAAGTTAACATTTTTTTTCATTTCATTTCATCATCCTGTTATTCGTCGATTGCCTCGAGCAGGCCCCAGTAAGGTCTCTTTCATCCTAGCCCTGAGATTTTATTCAAGGCTCTTTAGGAGAATGAGACCCATCATTGTTACTGGTATTTTGCATATTTGGTATGCCACGGGGAGTTTGCCAGACTCTGCCTTGTGGGCAGGCTACATTTTACATACCTGTGCACCCAGAGTTGCTTAAAAAATTCTTGGGGGGGCCAGGGGAGCGGGTGTGATAGAACAATGGGTTGGGCGTTTGCCTTGCATGCGGCTGATCCCGAACCCCTGCATCCCGTATGGTCCCCCGAGCACTGCCAGGAGTAATTCCTGAATTCAGTGCCAGAAGTAACCCCTGCACATCGCCAGGTGTGACCCAAAATGAAAAAAAAATTATTGGGGGAGCAAGAGAGATACTACAGAGGGTAGGGCACTTGCCTCGAACACAGCTAAGGTGATCCCTGCTACCCTATATGGTTACTGGGGCCTGTCAACAGTCATCCCTGAGCACAGAATCAGGAATAAGCCCTGAGCACTATCAGGTTGTCCCCTCCCCCCCCCCAAAAAAAACCCAAAATTGAATATAGTATAGGGCCTAGAGATATAGTGTGCTGGGGACATACTTTACATGTAGTGGGCCTGGCATGTAGTAGGCTTTGCATGTAGGACTCTGAGTAGCTTTGAGCCCTCCCAGAAGTTTCAGAGAGACCCTCAAGCATCCCCACGTGCGGCTTAAAACAAGCAAAATTGGATATATTACTTGTAGGGATTGACTTCCTTTAAAAAGAATTGGGGGGGGGGACCTCGGGTGCCATATCTGATGATGCTCAGGGGTTACTCCTAGCTCCTGTGCTCAGGAATTACTCCTGGCTGTGCTCAAGGGACCCTATGGGATCGAACCCAGGTTGGCTGTGTGCAAGGCAAGTTCCCACCCTCTATGCGATCTCTCAAGCCCCCTAAAACAGTTTCTGGGAAAAGTTTTTTTTCCCCATAATTGAGGGTTGAATGTATCTCATGTTTATAATAAGCTTGTGTTCTTGTAGGTCAGATTGAGTTGCACACACACCTGCCCGTGATGAAACAGCTGGTTCAGCAGCTGGAACAGTGGGTGTTCCGAGTCTGTGGAGTGTTTCTTCTTGATTCTCAATTCATGGCGGAGTCGTTCAAGGTTTTTTAACTATACCTGTCCTTGATTTTTCAGTCTCCGGCACAAGCAGAGTACAAAAACCTTTAGTCATAATCGTTTAATTGTTATCAGTTCCTGAACTATACCCAGGAGTGACTTAGAACTTATTGTTGTTAAATTAATATGCCAAGAAGATGGCTCCAGTGGCAGAGCACAGAGCTGGCATGTTCGAGGCCCTGAGTTTGCCCCTTGTGCAGTTCTAGTGGTCCCCAACTCTCAGCTGTCGCCTTCAGGAGTTGTCCTAGGGCAGTGTCAGAAGTAAGTCCCAAGCACCACTGTGTGTGGCTCCAAAACTAGAAAAAGAAAAGCTGGATGCCTGAGATATAGTACAGTGGGTAGAGCTCTTGCCTTGCATGTGGCCAGTCTGGGTGTCATTCCTGCCGTACTGCCACCGGGCCCCCTTAGCCGCTCCAGGAGTGATACTTGACCACAAAGCTCAGAGTACTACTGGGTATTCCCCAAAACTGAAAGGGAGGGCGTTTGGTTCCGTCTCCAGCACCCATATGGTTCCCAAAGCTGGTCAGGAGTAACTCCTTAGTGCAGAAGCCGAAGTGACCCACTAGTTATATCAGGGGATTTTGTGACCCAGAAACCCAAAAGGAAATACCCATCAGGGGAGGTGGTGGGGGAGCATGAGAGAAAATAACGTTAAAGGGTCAGAAATAGTACAGCGCTTCCCAAAAATAAATAAATAAGTAAATTTTAAAAATGGGGGCTGGAGTGATAGTACAGCGGGTAGGGCCTTGCACACAGCCAATCCGGGTTCGATTCCTAGCATGCCTGAGCACCACTAGGAGTAATTCATGAGTGCAGAGCCAGGAGTAACCCCTGTGCATTGCCAGGTATTACCACCCTCCCCCCACAAAAAAAATAGTAAAGGGCTTAAGGTGCTCGCCTTGATGTGGCCCACCTGCTTTTAATCCCTGTCACTACATGTTTCCTCAGTGCTGAACTCAACGCCACCTACCTCCTGAACACTCTAAAATATTGTTGAGTGGAGAAGTGTGGTCACTGTAGATCACGTTTCTCCTTCCCATCTCACCTTTCGAATCCTAAGGTCAGCTATTGGCCCAGCAGTCTTCTGTTGGGCCATTCCTGGCAGTCCTCAGGGCTCACTACTGGCGCTTTGCTGAGGAATCACTTAGGTAGTGCTCTGGGAACCCTATGGAGTGCTGGGCTAGAACCTGGGCTGACCAGGCGCAAGGCAAGTGCCTTAAAGCCTAGACTCTTGCTTAGGCCCCAATCTTAGCGTTTGTCGTATTTAGGTGGGTTTTGTTCCAGTGGGGATCAGAAACCTTTTATGTGGACACTGTTGGTGACAACTGATTCATTGTCCCTTTTCTGTGTCCTCTTTCAGTTTATTTCTGGCATCTTGGCAGCCTTGAATGCTATGGTATCTCTAGAAATCCCGCAAGTTAACATCATGACAAAAATGGACCTGCTGAGTAAAAGAGCTAAAAAGGAAATTGAGAAGTAAGTTCACTATAATTAACGTCACATTTGCAGTGCTGAACCTTTTTCGTTTCACTTCGATTGTCAGTCTACAAATTTAGTGTTTCGAATTCTTTGCTTCCCCAGTCTATCATTTTTGAAGGTTTCTAGATCCAGGCATGTATTCTTTATTAGATGATTCTACAAGCAACTTCAGAAGCAAAAAATTCAAAAAATTGACTAATGCCATATGTGGGCTGGTAAGACTTTGTATTTTTCTAATTTTTGGTGGTTGGGGGGTGGGCCTCCTATGCTGGGGGGCCAAGGGGCCACTCTGATTATTGGCCCACCAGGCTAGTAGTGGTCAGTGCTGGGGCCCTGAGGGCCGTATCAGCACTATTGTTTGCTTCCTGGCTGTACCCAACAATGCTCAGGATGCCATCTGGTGCCAAGAATGAAGCCCTGTGCTAATCCCTGGGCTGATGAGTTTTGCAAGTGTTTTGGGTTGTTGTGGGTTGATTTTAAGGTTTGAGGGCGACACCCGGTGGTGCTCAGGGGCTGTTTCTCCCCTGTGCCTGGTGGACCATATGTGGTGCTGGGTGTTCAAACTGAGGTGTGTGGGGTGCAGGCCAGTTGTAACCCCTGTCGTAGCTCTTCATCACCTCCCCCCGCACCTCCCTAGACACATATTTTTCTTAATGGTCTTGTCACATGATTACACACCCCCAGGCAGTGGCCACCATATGGACGGCACAGACAGGCGCATTTCTTTTTATAGGGGAGCAGCATGTTGGGAGCAGTGGGCTGTCTGCTTCGAAGTTAGTATAGAAGTAGGGAGAGAGCTCAGTGGGCAGCACCACAGGCTTTGCATACAAGGGGCCGAGGGTTAATCTCTGGCACCATATGGTCGGCACCAGCGTTGTCTGGATGTGGCCTCCCCTCACCTCTGAAAAAAGTTGTCATTGGTTGTAGCAGAGAGGGCAGGAGGTCACACTGAGTAGTGGTCAGAGTTTATTCTTGGCTCTGCCTCCAGAAATCATTCCTGGTGGGCTCAGGGAGCATACGGGATGCGGGGGATCGAACCCGGGTGCATCCCTTGCGTATGTGCAAGGCAAGCGCCCACCTCAGTGTACGAGCTCTCCCGTCCCACAGTAGAGAAATTCTGCAATGTCTTTTTTTCCTGGCCACTTGGCACATGAGAATTGCCTGTACCCTTTTGAAATTTTCAGTGGTTGTTGAATGCAGATAAATTACTTTAAAAGAATTCTCAATTTCTGGTTGGGTCTGGAGCGATAGCACAGCAGGTAGGACGTATGCGTGGCATGCGTCCGACCCAGGTTTGATTCCTAGCATCCATAGGTCCCCTGAGCATCACCAGGAGTTATTCCTGAGTATATGAATCAGGAGTAACCCCTGTGCATCACCAGGTGTAAAGTAAAGTAAAGTAAAGTAAAGTAAAGTAAAGTAAAGGCCCTCCCGTTGATCTTCAATTTGCTCGAGCGGGCCCAGTAACGTCTCCATTGGAGACTTTGTTGTTACTGTGTCTGGCATATCGAATACGTCACGGGGAGCTTGCCAGGCTCTGCCCTGCGGGCGAGATACTCTCGGTAGCTTGCCGGGCTCTCCGAGAGGGGCGAGGAATCGAACTCGGGTCGGCCATGTTGGCCGCGTGCAAGGCAAACGCCCTACCGCTGTGCTATCGCTCCAAAAAGTCTTTAGTTAAGTAATGTTGTAATGTTACTAGTGTTCCAATAGGTAAGAGGTCATAAAAAAATTAATGCTGATTTGCTATTGTTCTGTCTGCTCCTCCCTGCACAGGCATAGATGGTTTTAATTAGACTACCAATGCTCACACTCAAGCGTCAGTTGCATGACCTTTCTGAAATCTCTAATTTGTAGATTGATGACTACAGCATGGTCCGATTTTTGCCTTCCAATCAATCAGAAGAAGAAAGCATGAACATTGTATTACAGCATATTGATTTTGCCATTCAGTACGGAGAAGACTTGGAATTCAAGGAACCCAAGTTAATTTCTGATGATTTAGATTTGCCAGGGCCAGAGAACGGTACAGAGGGAAAGACCATTCTCTGCCTCCCCTAGGCTGACGCTGGGTCAGTTCCCCGTTTCATGTCTAGTCCCTGAGCACAGAGCCAGGATTGCCCTGAACACCTCTGCCCTCCTGTTTGATTTAAGCAGCTCCTTAAGTTAAAGTCTTGGGGGCAGCAAGAACCTGGCCCGTTCTGGCTGATCTCTGGGTGTGGCTCAAGAACTCAAAACCAAAATCAGAAAAAAAAAGAGTAACCAAAATATAAATAAATAAACATAAATAAAAAGTCCTGGGAGCTTGGTGTGATAATCTATGTATCCTGTCAGTTGTTCAGGTTACACGGCAGTTGGTGGGTGTAACTGTCTAGCTACTGGAAGGTCCATTCCCAAACTGTGTAGGCTTGGAGATCTCAGCCCCGGGTCCCCCACACCTGGGTTGCTCTGCCAGTTCCTTTATGCGTGAAGCCCTTCCAAGCGTGTGGAGAGTGGTCTCAGCATGACTTTGGCCTTCTGCCGGACGTCTTCTGCTGTTGGCCCTGGTGAGGACAGTCAGGCATGGGGTAGGAGTCTCCGCCTTGTTCTCTCCCGGGAGCTTGGTGTGATAATCAAGTGATTACCAGTGATTCATTAAAAAGTAAAACATTTAAAGAAACAAATTAAAAATGGAAAAATTCCAAAACTTAAAAATTTTAAAAATAAAATTAAATTTAAGAAAAGAAAATGGGATTTGGTGGGGAGCCGTGCGGCTGGGTTTCTGGAGGAAGAGCAGAGACTGTTAATTGTGCAATAACTTATTCCCTACCACCCTCATTTTTAAAAACTATTATTATTATTATTATTATTTTTTCTTTTGGGCCACACCCGGTGATGTGCAGGGGTTCCTCCTGGCTCTGCACTCATGAATTCCTCCTGGTGGTGCTCAGAGGACCATAGGGGATGCTGGGAATCAAACCTCGCTGGCCACTTGCAAGGTAAATGCCCTGCCTACTGTCATATCGCTCCAACTCCCCAATTTTTTTATTTTATAAAGTGTTTTACAATATTTGATTATATTCAATATTCAGACTCCAATCCCACCACCATTACACCTTCTCACCACCATATTTCGGGTAGCTCTATCCCAAACCCCAATCCCTGTCCCAAAGCAGAACTGAAATAATCTATTCTCTTGTATTGTTTGATATGAAAAACTGCCAGGGCGCTGGAGTGATAGCACAGTGGGTGGGACGTTTGCCTTGCATGCGGTGAAACTGGGTTCAATTCCAAGCATCCCATATGGTCCCCTGAGCACCATTAGCCAGGGATAATTCCTGAGTGCAGAGCCAGGAGAAATTCCTGTGCATCGACAGGTATGACCCCTCCGAAAAATATCGCTGAAAATCCTATAAAAAAAGTATCCTTAGAGGAAGGAGTGTGTATTCTACCCAGGGGCCGTTAAGTCCTTCTATAAGAGATCACTAACATGTTGTAAAAGGTTGAGACTTGTGTGTTTATATATATATAGCACAGCGGTAGGGCCTTTGCCTTGCACACAGCCAACATGGCCAACCTGATTTCGATTCCTCCACCCCTCTCAGAGAGCCCGGCAAGCTACCGAGAGTATCTCGCCCGCACTGCAGAGCCTGGCAAGTTACCCATGACGTATTTGATATGCCAAACAAAGTAACAACAAAGTCTACAATGGAGACGTTACTGGACCCGCTCGAGCAAATTGAAGAACAATGGGAGGACAGTGATACAGTGAACCAAAACCCTGGTTGGAGATTACGTGGCTTTTGTGCTCCAGAACCTGATGGTGCTTTGGGCCCCCGGTTCAGGAAAAGTAAGTGCCCCACCCCCTGTGCTGTCTCGTTCGCCCCAATTTTGTTAGTGAATATCTATTAGCACTACTACTGGGTATTATAGAGCATTGCCTGAACAGTAGGTCAATACATACTGGGTCTGCGGAGAAATCAATGAATTTTCTAATTTGTGTTTTATGAAGATGAGTTGTCTTCTATGTTGGATGAATATTTTCAAGAATGCCAGAACAAATGAAGAGTATGTTACGATGCAACTGGATGCGGGGCTGGAGTGATAGCACAGTAGGTAGGGCATTTCCCTTGCACGCGACAGACCTGGTTTCGAATCCCAACATCCCATATGGGCCACCAAGCGCCGCCAGGAGTAATTCCTGAGTGAAGAGCCAGGAGTAACACCTGTGCTCTCCGGGTGTGACCCAAAAACCGAAAAAAAAAAAAGGCAAATGGATGCTTGTGAAGAGTAGCAATCACAATTTATTTAAATGAAAATATAACAGAGAAAGTAAAAACAAAGAATAAAAATCATAAAATATACAGAGGCAAGATACTCATTGGTGGGAGGGTATCCAGAGAGAGACACTGATGTGAGACCCTGGGCTTCTTTCAGTTGTAAACATGCTAGGTCCTCTGGGAACTTGTCCAATATTGCCTCAGCGGGTGGCTGTGCAGCTGGTACTCGAGAGATCAGTGTTGGCGCTGTCCTTGGACACGGAGCCAAGTATGCTTTCAGAGCTGGAGCTAAAGAATCAATAAGAGAAAAGGTCACCCAGAGGGCTCCTTCCATGGATTCTCCAGAGCTGACCCCAGCAGGAAGGGGAGACCATGGGCCCACCTCACGGGGGTTTCCTGTGGAGGCCTCCCCAGAATGGGCTCTCCTCCCTGTGACTCTCCTTTCCCACACCAGCCCCCAGGACACCTCTAGGTGGGCCTTTTCCCATTCCCCTTTTTCTTGTGCATATACACACACCCCTTGGTTCTTACCCGTTTTCTTCTGGTGCTCTGAGTCTCGTTCTCTGCCATATGTGTGAGGCCATGGCATTGAAGGTGGTGCCCTTTGGGGAGTTGACACTCCTTGGCCAATCTCAAATTTCTGCTTAGATGGTGTCTGGCTCTGCTTGGGTCTGGCTGATTCCAGACTTTCTTCAGAGGAACTGGACCCAGAGGATATGTAGAAGATCTTCTTTCTCTCCTGTGGGCTGCTCTGCTGAGGGAGCGTCTCTCTCTCCTGTGGGCTGCTCTGCGGAGGGAGGACCACAAAGGCTCAGCTCCAGAAGCGCTGCTTCCCCCTCCCTTCTGAGTTCCTCCCTGCTGGTGGACCTGCATCTACACAGGCCTCCCATAGGAATGAGACTGAAACAATCAAGTTTAGAAAAGTCTTGGCCCAAGAGCACCTCCTAGTGCCAAATCAGTGAGCAGTGACCAGGCGTTGGGGGCTAGATTTGATGACTCACCTGCTAGGAGCAGGCTGCCCTCAAGATGATCTCACAACACACACAGAGACACACGTACATACACAAATACACATACTCACACACAGACCATCTCCAGTACACACTCAAATTTACTCCCTCCGATAAACACGTTCACACCCGGGTGTGCACACTCTTCCACACACGCAGCTTCTGCGCCATCACACTCAGGGAGGTGATGAAGACTGATCACGGTCATCAGTGCTGGGCTGCCCGGGCCAGTTCCTGCTGACCTGAACTAGCGGCTGTCTTCGAGAAGAATTCCGGGGAGTTCTCCAATGGGTCCTCACCCAGTTTCTGAATCTTTTCAGTGTCCTACACTTGGGGGTTTTACAACCACGATTTCTTGGTAAACAGCAAAACATGTTTGCTGTCTGTCCGTTTCCGCAGTGAACCAAGTAATGAGTATGGGGGCAGTTGGGGAGACTGCAGAATGTCTGGTTGCATCACAAAGAGAGGTCGGTGATGTCACCGAGCGCATCACAGCGAGGACAGGTCAGCTGTGGCCCTGCAGCAGGGCTTGCTCTCTGTGCAGCCCCTCTGGGCTGCTGCTGCTCTCCCTGTTCCCACAAGTCCTGTCCATGTGGTGAACTCAAGGCCCTGGGGAGAGCAGGGAGCAGCCACTTGAAAGAATGTGCTGCTAAAAAGTTATTTTCCTTTTTTTTAAAATGTAGGTGTACTGCTATTTATTCGGCCACTGATTAGCTGATTGAATTGGGCATGAACTCCACCTTACTCTCTTTTTTTCATTTTTTATCATTGTCTTTATTGAATCGCTCCAACCTCCCAATTTTTTTATTTTATATATTGTTTTACAATATTTGATTACATTCAATATTCAGACTCCAATTCCACCACCATTACACCTTCTCAGCACCACATTTCGGGTAGTTCTATCTCGAACCCCAATCCCTGTCCCAAAGCAGAACTGAAATAATCTATTCTCTTGTATTGTTTGATATGATAAACTGCCAGGGCACTGGAGTGATAGCACAGTGGGTAGGATGTTTGCCTTGCACGCGGCGAAACTGGGTTCGATTCCCAGCATCCCATATGGTCCCCTGAGCACTATTAGCCAGGTATAATTCGTGAGTGCAGAGCCAGGAGAAATTCCTGTGCATCGACAGGTATGACCCAAAAACAAACAAACAAAAAATCGCTAAAAATGCTATAAAAAAAAGTATCCTTAGAGGAAGGAGTGTGTATTCTACCCAGGGGCCGTTAAGCCCTTCTGTAAGAGATTACTAACATGTTGTAAACGGTTGAGCCGTGTGTTTATATATATATATGTGTGTGTGTATATATGTATCTATAAAATATATATATATGTATTTCCCTCTAAGATTGGTTGCCTGCTACTTTGAACCATGTCAGATGTGGTACAGTTGTTTTTGAGTATGAGCTCCCGCATTTTTTTGCTTTTGGGGTCACATCTGGTTGTGCTCAGGGCTGACTCCTGGGTCTGTGCTCAGGGATCACTCCTGGCAGACTTCCAGGATGGTCCGGGGAATGAAAGCGAGACAGCCTTGTGCGAGGGGAGTGTCCTGCCCTCTGGACTCTCCGTGTCCCTGCTCCAGGGCCCCTTTAGTTCCACAGCCTTTGTTTTTGGTTCATACCTGGCACTGCACAGGGGTTTCTCCTGGCTCTGCACTCATGAATTACTCCTGGCGGTGCTCAGGGGACCATACGGGATGCTGGGAATCGAACCCGGGTCAGCTGAGCGCTACCCACTGTGCAATGCTCCAGACCCTATTCTCATTTTTAAAGGGAAATAGAATCCAGA